GGGGGTGGGGGTGGCATTCCTGAAGGCTGGGGTTGAAATGGCCAAAGCAGCAGTTGAGAGGAGCTTCTAGACAATGGTGTGGCAAGTGGCCTGCGGTGCAGGGAGAGCCTGGAACCTGGAGGCTGTGGCTGCACTTCAGAGGAGAGAAGATGGTGGTAGGAGCCAGGGCAGGGGAGGTGGGGAAGGGCCGAGGAGAGTGTTCCCAGGAGGAAGGAGGGGCAGGCGGGGTGCTCCCCAGGCTTTCAGCTCAGGGCTTGTGCAGTGGCACCTGGAAAAACAACAGGCCAGGCGGCCTGGGGACAGCCAGGACTATTCATGGGAGTCTTGAACTCAGAGATACTGACCAGCTGATGTCCATGATAACTGATGTCCTGAGAGAGGCTGTCCCCAGGGAGATGTGAGGACTGGGAAGAGAAGCTGCCCAGGATCACACTCTTCATACAAAGGGAAAAGTCCTAGGAGGAGACTGAGGAGGAGCCCTGCCACCAGGGCACAGAAGAGTAGCCTCAGGGAAGAATGGGGTGGAGGTGGTTTCAGGCGGACAGAGGGGTCACCAGTGCCTGGGTAGATAAAGACAAGGCTTGAGAATGGCCACTGGACCCAGTGAGGGCTGGCCAGCCTGCAGTAGCCTTAAGTGTGAGAGGGAGCAAAGGAGTGGGTGAGTGCAGTTGTAGATAACCCTTCCTCAGGCTTGGCTGGGAGGGGCCAGGGCAACAGGCCACATCTGGTGGGTGCTGGGGACATTTTTATTTTATTTTACTTTATTTTAAATTTTATTATTTTATTATTTTTTTAATCTTCACCTGAGGACATGCTTAGAGAGAGGAAAGGAGAGAGAGAAACATCCATCAGTTGCCTTCCGTTTGTGCCCCAACCAGGGATTGAACCCACAACCTAGGCACGTGCCTTGACTGGGAATCGAACCGGCAACCTTTCGGTGCACAGGATGACAACACTCAACTAACTGAGCTACTCTGGCCTGGCTGGGGACATTTTTAATGTTGTTTTTTTTAAATCCTCACCCGAGGATATTTTTTCCATTGATTTTCAGAGAGAGCGGAAGGGAGAGAGAGAGAGAAACATTGACATGAGCGAGACACATCGATTGGTTGCCTCCCGCATGTGCCCGGCCAGGGCTGGGGATCGAGCCTGCAACCCAGGTACGTGCCCTTGGCTGGAATTGAACCCGAGACCCTTCAGTCCGTGGGCTGACGCTCTAACCACAGAGCCAAACCGGCCAGGGCTGGGGCCCTTTTTAGACTGAAAAGCAGTAGAGAAGAACCCAGGAGAGGGGACAGAGGAAACCGAGCCCCTGAGCTGACTGAGGAGGGCTGGGCTGGAGGACGGGCTGGGGTGGTGCTGGAAGCCTCCGCGGGACTGGTGGCGGGTGAGGCTCGAGTCTAGCTGGAGGGTGGTCGCTGTTCATCTAGTCTTCGTGCCCATGGGTGCCGGGCAGCGCCTAGGCCTGAGCCTTTAGTGGGACGCCGGGGGACCCACTGCGAGGAGAGGGATGTTGGCCGCCACTCTGGCTCCCTTCCTCTCCCCGGACTCAGCGCTCCTGACTGACCCTGCCCCAGCCCACCCGCCATGCCAGGCAGATGGGGAAACCGTTTCTTCCCCTCGCGCAGGGCAGGGCTCCCCCGTCCAGCAAGCCCTGTGAGGCAACGGGGCTGAGGCAAGGCCAGCCGCGCCCTGGCGGGTGGCCAGCGATGGCGCAGGGCAGGCTTGTGCAACAGGCCCAGGCTGGGCATAAAAGAGGGGTGCGTGCTGGGGAGGCAGACTCCGGCACCATGGAGGCCCAGGGGGCCAGCCTGCACGGGGGGCGCTGGGCGCTGTTGCTGCTGCTGCTGGGCCTGGCGACGCCTCTGGCCACTGCCCAGGTGCTCAGCCAGGAGGAGGCCGCGCTCCTGGCCGTGGAGGAGTTCAACCGGAACTCCTCAGAAGAGAGCCTCTACCGCCTGCTGCAGCTGGACCAGCAGCCCGACGGGGTGAGCGGGGGCTCGGGGGGAGGCTCTGCCCTGCTGCGCTCGGCCACGCCGCTTGGCTTCTGCTGGGCCTCATCAGAAAGGCCACCCTCCCTTTCAGCGGGATCCTGCCTCTCCCAGGAAACCTTCCCAGAGCTGTGTCCCCTTCCCGACGGTAGCTTCCTGCCTTAGAATCGATACTGTGCAAGGAGGTGCCCCCCACATTCAGGCTTCAGGGACTTCTGGGGGTTCCAGGGGCAAGAACGGGGCCATTGGGCCTGGAGTGTGACTCCCCTGCTTTAAGTTTTCCACGCACTCCGCTGTCTCCCACACAGGGAAGGGCTCTGCTCAGCCTGAGGTTCCAGGGGCAATGTCTTTCCTCCAGGACGTCCCTGATTCCCCTCGATACCCCCAGAGCTTGTCTGCGGTCTGCCCCTGCTCTCCGTATGCTTGCTGTGGGCAGGAGTGGGCTCTGCCCTGCCCACCTCTGTATCCCGGCACCAAACCCAGCGCCAGGAACACAGCAGGGGCTGTGAAAGGCTGTTCTTTAGGTGGGGTGTGTGTTGGGGGGGGGGAGACAGGGGAACAGATCAGAGAAAGCAAGCAGAGGCTCAGTCCTGGTCCCCCCACTTTCTCTCCTGGCCAGGACGAGAACCCAAACACCCTGAGGCCTGTGAGCTTCGTGGTGAAGGAGACTGTGTGCCCCAGAAGGACGCAGCTGCCGCCTGAGCAGTGTGACTTCAAAGAGAACGGGGTGAGGTTGGGGGCAGGGGTGCCTCCCAAGATGCTGAACAAGAGGCCTCTGGGGAACGTTTCAATATACTGGGCTGAGGCGGGAAGGTTATAGCACAAACTCTCCCCTGTTTAGCTGATGAAAGAGTGTGTGGGGCTAACCACCCTGGACCAGAAAAAAGGCTACTTTGAAGTCAACTGTGTGGAGGTGAGTGGCCCCTATGAGTTGTGGGGGCCAATGGGTGTGGTGTGTGGAACATCCTATGGACCAATTAGCCATCCCGGGCAGAGAAAGCCCCTCCTACCCTGGGCTCCTCCCTCAGCCTGAGCCCTGGCTCTCCAGGACTGGCTCTGCAGTCCCTTAGAGCTCAGTGGCTCTCAAAGTGCGGCCCACACCTGGGAACTTGTTAAATGTGCAAAATTTCAGGCCCCATTCAGACCTGCTGACTCAGACTCTGGGGTGAGGCCCAGCAGTTTGTATTTAACAAGACTTCCAGAAGATTCCAGCTGAAGTTTGAGAGCCACTGACTTAGAGTAATGAGCTTTCAGCCCATGCTCCATCTCAGCTTTGCTGGGATGGGCCGTGTGACCTTGGCAGCCACTAGCCATCTCTGGGCCTCAGTTTCCTCATCTGTTTATGGGTATAGGGATTCAACCACATGCTTCAAAGGTCACAGCAGGAGGGTGAACTGGGGCCCCAAGGTTCCTAGGGTGGCCCAGGAAGGGGGATGTCTCTGTGGGAGGGGTCTTGACCCTGGGTCCAGCCCCCACAAGGAGCCTGTTTTCTCCTGATGCACAGCTCAAGGATGTGAAATTGAGAGGGCTGCTGGGCGGACTCTTACGGAAAGGAGGACGGAAGATTGGTGAAGGCATTGAGGGATTTGGCAGGAGAATCAAGAATTTTTTTTCAAATCTTTCGCCCAGGGAAGAGTCCTAATAGTCTGTTTTGTCCTGGCTCCGGCTTCTGGACTCTGAAAAATAAATTCTTGTGAAAGCAACTTTCTCCGGCCTCAATTTCACTTGTCTTGCCTTCTCCCAGTTACCACAACGAAGTCTGGGAGGCCCTGTGTGTGCGCACCATGCGCACGTGTGCGGGCAAAACCCAGGGATGGGTGGGGACAGCTGTTCCATTCAGGAGAGCATGGGGTGAGGCAGAAGGACCAAGAGGCCCAGGACAGTGTCTCCATCCTCAGGGTCGATGCCCCTGCCCTCACATACCTCCCACCCTCCTCCTCGAGTACCCAGTAGGAACTTAAGGACGTCTACTCTGTGTGTAGGGCTGGGGGGGATGCTGCTGAGCTCTTCTTGCTCATATGGAGGTGACAGTGGAGGGAGGGGACAGGCATTTTGTTAAATACTCTCAGAGATGCAGTTCAGTCACATGGCTGGCTGGGTTCTGAGGTCGGCAGGGCCCATAAAGTTCTAATTCCCCTTGAAAATCTTAACTCTGTGAAAGACCCCCATACCTCTGGCTTTTCCTCTGGCACAGGGACACATCACTGTTTCTTCAGCTGGGCAGCAAATTTAAGTTTCAGGTTCGTGTTTAGGAGTCAAATGGTACAAAAAATTTTTGTATCATTAAAAACAGGAATCCTGCCCGGCCTGCATGGCTCAGTGGTTGAGCATCAACCAAGGATACAGGAGATCGAGGTTCGATCCCTGGTCAGGGCACGTGCCCAGGTTGCGGGTGCGATCCCCAGTACGGGGTGTGCAGGAGGAAGCTGATCAATGACTCTCTCATCATTGGTATTTCTCTCTTCCTCTCCCTTCCTCTTTCTGAAATCAATAAAGATATATTAAAAAAAAAAAAAGTTATGGCTTCAGGTCTAGGTGCTAAATTGAGTTTTTCCCCCACAAATGCTCTCATATTGAGTCTTTTTTATCTTTATTGTTGAAAGAATTACAGATGTGCCCCCCCCCCAGGAGATGGAGGTTCTGTTGAGTCTGAAATAGAGACTGTGGCTGATTCAGATCGGCCGGCTCTGACACGCCGAGCTCCATGCAGAGGGTGTGCGCACCCAAGCACAACCAGGGGAGGGCTGCCTTGGACAACTTTATGCCCCACCTCGTAGCCTCCCGGCTGCCTCCCTACCACCCTGCTGCCCCCAGGTGAAGTCAGGGAGCTCAGTCCCTTTCTCTTGGCTCCTTCCAGGAGCATCTCTGCTGACGAATGCAGGAGGCCTTTCTGGCAATGTGCAAATTTGGACCTACAAAGGAGTTTGTCTAGAGAATGCTAGACAATGGATGATGGAATCCAGTGGGAAAATACCCAGGCTCCTGGCCCCCATTGGGAGGCAGAGGACCACCAGCTAGATTGGGGCCAGCTGTCCACAGTGGTGCCCAGCTCAATACCCCATTCTCGAGTTGGCTCTCTCCTCCCTGTTTCACTCTTCCAGTCTCTACACTCCTGCTGAGATCCTAGTCTCTCCTGCCTCTCAGAAATTTTATGTTAGTGATTGTATTTCTTGTAAACCAATCCCTCTCTACTGACTTAAGACACAAAAAGTCACATGTTGTATGATTCCTTTTATATGCTAAATCCAGAATAGACAAATCCTTAGAAATGGAAAGCAGATTAGTGTTTAACGGGATGGAAGGAGTGAGGGAATGGAGAGATTACTTAATGGGCACAGAGTGTTTTCCTAGGGTTGACGAAAAAGGTTTTTTTGTTGTTGTCCCTTGAATTTGTATTTTAAACTTTGATCTCTGATCCTTAGCCCTTAAATCATACTTTAAATCTCAACCTAGTTCTTGGCCTTGGACATTGACATGATCTTTGAATTTGGACCTTGAAACTAGACATCAGATCTCAGTGATGAACCTAGATGGTCCTGGATCTTGGTCCTGACCTTAGACATGATCTTTGCTTATAAATCTGAATTTGAATCTTAAACTCGAATATGGGTCTTGAACCTGAACTTCTAAGAGAACTTGGACTTCATACCTGGACTCTGGATCTGGACCTAATGCTTAGACTTCAGACCTGGATGTGGACATGAACTTGTCTTGAACTTTGACCTACTCCTAGACATTGAACCTGAAACTTAAGACATGAATTCGACCTGCAACTTTGTACTTGACATTAGACTTGGACATTGGACCTGGACCAGGACCTGGACCTTGCTACTGTACCTTGAACCTGGAATTTGGACTTGGACCTTCTTACTCTATTTCTTCATCTCCTTTGTTGGCTTGTGCAAATACTTGTTTTCATAAATTCTATATAAATTCAAGGCTCCTCACTATTCTCAGTGATGTAGATTGTCATAGTATGGCCCCCAATAATTCACACCTCCCAATATCCATGTCGGTATGCAGGCCTTTCCCAAAGGGACTCTGGGCTTGGCCATGTGGCTTGGTTTGGCCAATGGGATGTTAGCAAACATGACACAAGCAGAAGCTTGGTAAAGCTTGTGAATGGGGGCCTGCCCTCTTAGAACCCTGAAATAACCGTGCTATGAAGAAGCTCAAAATGAAAGACCACGTTGGACCCACCTGCTGAATGCAGCCACGAGTGAGTCCAAGTGAGACCAGCGGATTCACCCAGCCAATCAACCGACACATAAGAACAAATCATTATTCTCTTAAGCCACTAAATTTTGAGGTGATTAATCATGCAGCAATTGATAACTGATGTCCTTGGCTTACAACAAAGACGTTGTAGTGGCTTTGTGCAAATCAGAAAAAAGTGAATCAAAAAAACATGCCTCTACTGGACAGACACACCTTTATTCAAATAAAAGCTGCCCCTTCCTCCAGGACGCAGCCCTGTGCCAGGTGCACAGCATGGATTGGAGCCCACACTCAGCTCTGTCACCGGGTTCCTTTATACACAACATAAGCTGTGTGTGTGTGTGTCTGTGTGTGTGTGTGTGGACTTCCTGGGTTTCTATACAATTCTTTCTTCACTTGGCATAGGGAGAAAGTTGGCTTTGGGACAGGTTTAATGACTCCAGTTAAGGATGGAGAGAAGGCACCTAGAGCAGGGCTCCCAGCCTTGAGGATTCAGTGGAATACTGACTTGTATTGAGGAAGACAGGCCAAATATTGCCTTACAGAGTCACTGCAGAGTCACTGAGGCAAGCGCCTCCTTGAAAAGGAATGAACAATTTTCAGCAAAAAGAGGAACCATCGTTCCTCTGAACCACCCACAAACATTCCAGCAAAGAGGTAGATAGATTCTAGAGGCAGTGGTGGTGAGGAGCTAGGCTCTCAGGCAGGTGGCGGTGCCTAGCAGAGATGGCGCCATGAGCCCCAGGCCTCCCTGGCCCTAGGACAGTGCTCTGGACAGGAGGGACAAGACAAAAGGCTTGGCCACGCCACCAGTCTTCACAGATTGCCAGGCCTGCATCAGGCTGGCCCCGGGCCTCCTGTGCCGGCTGCATAGTGGATGCCTCCCTCCGGACTGTAGAGCACAGGGCCACGGCGCCACCGAGGCTCTTCTTCCTCATACCAGCGCTGCTCACTGAAGCCAGGGAAGAAGGCTGCAATCTCCCTGCTGGCTGAAGCCACAGAGTCTGAAGGAGAAGGGACTCTATCAGGGAGTGCAGTCATAATCCGGTGCAGAAACTGGAGCCTCTACTCCCGCCCGCTCCTCAGTTCTGGGACCACATCTGCTAAGACGGCCACAGAGGACCAGAATCGCAGTAGGGAAGAGAGCTCACTGGAAGGACCTGACTCTCAACCCCACCATATGGCCTGCCCCCCAACCCCCAAACCATCCTCCCTTATTTGTGCCCGTGGACCTGGGAGGCAGACTCACCGGAGCCATGGGTGGTGTTGCGGGTGTCGGTGAGGCCGAAACTCCCTCGAATTGAATCTGGGGCCACGTGGCGTGCTCGAAACACTTTGGTGGGTCCCATCAGCGTCCTCCAGAGCTGGATGGCATCCTTGTGGGCAAGGATGTAGGCTCGGAGTGGCCCACTGTGAACAAAAGGGGCATGTGTCTGGAATCTGGCCATCAGTCTAGAATAGCACACCATGAGCAGGGCGCAGATAAAGGCGCACTGTACATCCTGAGAGTTTCCTTGCCTTTCTAGCTGAGTACCAACACTGCTACCAATGATGGAAGGCTACTGCTGATGGCCAAGAAAGCTACAGAGATCAGCAGAGTTGCTAGGCAGCACTCAATAATACTCTTCTACAGTCACTGGATCAGTACCCACCATGCGTCAGGTGGCCACCAGGTCAGTGTGGCTCAGTCAGAGCCCCAAATTCATGTTTCTTCAGACACTGGATGCTCATTACAACTTTAAAGAGTGGCAAGTAAAATTAACAGATTTATTTAGGTGGCAGGGGAGATATGTCTCAATAGATAAAGATGCTGGGCCCAAAAGTGGAAATACCTGGCCATGAACTCCACTAGCCGCTGATAGAAAAAACGCCCTGTGAAGAGAGAGAGAACCTTCATCAAGACACTGGTGCCCAAGAGGACTTTTTGTACTTCTGCCTCCTAACTTGGAGTAAAAACTGCTTTAGAACAAAGAACGGACCTTGGAGTCTGACATACCTGGGTCTGAATCCAGGCTCCGCCACTTACAACCTGTACAACCTGTAAGTAGGTGAGTCATGAGCTTCCCTAGCTCAGTTTCCTAATCTGTATACTGGGGATATAACAATACCTACCTCAGGGGGCTGCTGGGAGAATGAAATGAAATCATGAGTGTTAGAACAATGTCTGACAGAGTAAACACTCACTAAATGTTAACTACTGATATTAGAATATAAAACTAAGTTTCTGGTTGGGACTGTGAAGTAGGACCTTCCCAGAAAATAGGAAAGAGTTTTACAGTTGGTAGCAGACAGCCTGCCGTCATGTGTCTGGGTAAAATCTCTCTTGCACGCCGCTTGGGATAGAGAAGCCCCCCATTCAGGAGGCTGGGGTCCTACCTTCGTGCTCTTGGTAAAACCTCTGGCACTCTTCTTTCCTCCACACAAGTTCTCTCATTCGTACAATAAGGAACTTGTTGCTCAGAATCTGCTGATGAACAGCCTGGATAAGCAGCACCGCAAAGATAAAAATCAGTCAAAAGGGCCATTTGGGTGAACCAGGAGACTGCACCACTCAGACCATCGCCACACCTCTCGATAGTGGCCCTGCCTTGAACTTCTGCCCCTCTCTCTATGACGTCACACTCGATAAATCAAAAACATCACAACCTAGGTCCTGCTCTGGTCAGAAGCTTTTGAGTGCCTCCTGGTACTCATGGAATGAGGAGCCACCAATTTGTCGCGTTTTCAAGGCTGCACTTCCTCGCCCTGCACTTCCAATTCCCCAGTCCCTCCCACCCAGCCCTCCTGTGGCCCTCAGACCTACGTTCTGCCTCAGCATCTCCCTCCTGTGGAACACTTGTCCTGCTCTGGCCACTAACCAAAGGCCACCCTTCCTTTGAGGCGGGGCCTGGTCCCCACACTCACAGGCCACCTCCCGGCTCTGGTCTTCCTTTGTACCAGTGAGCATACTCAGCAGTGCTGCTCAGCTACTGCCTACCAAACTACTGTAAGCAGAATGCTAAAATGACCCTCACCTAGCTCTACCCAGTTTCCTTCCTTAAATCTCCAGGACTGAATATCATGCAGAATGACATTATTTTACATGACATAACAAAAGGGATTTTGCAGGTGTAATTAAGGTGACTACAAACTGACTTTGCTTTAATCAAAAGGGAGATTATCCAGACATGCCTAATGAATCACATGAGCTCTTTAAAAGCAGAGCTGTACCTGGCTGGGAGCTGAAGGAGAACTCAGAGAGGTTGAAGCATCTGATTCACTGTTGTCTTGAAGCTGGAGTGGGCCTGATGAGGAGTGGCCAGCCTCTGGAGGCTGAGAGCAGTCCCTGCCTAAAGGCAAGGACACTGGGACCTCAGTCCTATACCCACAGGAACTGAATTCTGCCAACAACCCAAATAAGTCTGGGAGTGGATTCTTCCCCAAGCCCTCGAGATAAGGGCCCAGTCAGCTATATCTTGACTTTGGCCTTGTGAGACCATAAGGAAAGAACCCAGCCGAGCCTCCTGCACTTCAAATTCTAGAATTGTGAAATAATAAGTATTGTTTTAAGCTACTAAGTGTGTGGTAATTTTTATGGAGCAACAGAAAACTAATACACATATACTGTATTGAAGTTTGGTTCCTCGTGTTATTATACTGGATTCTTTCTTGTATTTTATATCTGCCTCAATTCTGCAATAGATTTTTAGTCCTCTTAGAGTCTAAGTCCACGGCTTCTAGCTTTGCCTCCATGGTATTTAGCACAGGACTCTGTTGTCAGTCTTCACAATAGGCCCTATGGCACCTAAAACAGAAATAATGCCCAGGCATATAGTAGAGGCTTAGGATTCTTACCTCCAGAATCAGTGGGTGAGCGACTGCATCAGGCTTGATCAGGGCCAGAGTAAGCTGGAGAGCCTGAGGGCTTCGCAAGATCGAGGTCATCTCACTCCTACCATCAGAGCCGGATTAGGGACTCATCAGAGCTGCACTTCCCATCCTTCCTACTCTGGAGCCATGCAGCTCTGCAAGCTAACCAGTGCTCTCACTCCTGACACTCATAAAGCATGTGACAGTTACACAGGAAGACTGCATACATGGTTACTGTATACATGTATATATTGCTTTATATAACGGCCCATTTGTGCTCATGGGATTGAGGGAAGGGAGTGGTAGAGGGGGCACTCAGGTTGCCCTATGGAATGCATTATCTGGTTTGTGCCACTGTAAGCGTATGAGGGAGTTGTCACTCATTCAAAAGAAATTCAAGTTTAAACACTACCTCTCTCTCAAATATTCCCTCCCCTTCCTAACTGTCCATTGTGTTTTACAGAGTATTTACAACTTATACTTCTCAACAGCCGGGCCACAAGAGTTGAGTAAGTGTTTCCTCTCCAAAGGCCCTCTATCTTATAGTGCTCTCCCACCAATTCCAGAATTGGACAAGAATTGGGTTGTTGGCAGGATACCAAAAAGCTTGATGGATACATACCATCTCTTATCTACTCTTACAGATAGGTCAAGATCTTCCCTGCCCAAATCAAACCCTTTAATACACTCAGCTGTCCTCAGTGGCAAGGCTTATAGATATGCAACTCCAAGTTCGGGGACTAGTTGTAACCATGTTGTATGTGAAGCAGTTGAAACAGCACCTGGCACAAAGGTGCTTGATCAGTTTTGACTAAAGGTACCTATATAGTCCTATTCATATTTGTATTTCTAGCATCTAACATGTTGTAAGAGCTCAAATAAATAATTCTGGAAATGATATGAAGAACATAAAAGTATTTTATACTCTGGACTTACAGAATTTGAGCTCTCTTCCACGTGAGAAATTGATCATCTCTGCACAACTAAGGACTAGGTCTCAAAAAGGTTATCCCATGGAACCTCTAAATCTGCCAATGAATAGAAAAGGCTCCCATGAACACACATGGGACAGTCTGGCCAACACTCTCATTTCTCTTAGCCTAAAAGTAGCCTGACAATCATGTTAAGGGTGGTGTTAGTGTCTGGTTTAAATGAAGAAACCATGCCAAGGTCTTTTCTACTCCTGTCCTTTTTACAGCTTTCATCTTGATGCTCCACTGAAATCACAGAGCTAAGCCCAGTCTAACCAGTACGAGATCAGCCAAGCCACTCTCCCTCATATCCCAGGGGGTGAGTAACCCAAAGCAAGCAGAATCTTCCCCATATATCTAGGGAGACCCATCCTTGACACCTCCCCTCCCTCGCCTTCCGCATCCATGCCATCACTAAATTCTGGCAATTTTACCTAACCAGTATATCTCAGATCCATACAGTTCTCTCCCTCTCAACTACCGCCACCTGCAGCCAAGACATCATCCTCCCTCCCTAGATTCCTGCAACAGTCTCCTCAGTGGCCTCCCAGTTTCTACTCTGGCCACCCTACACAATCTATTCTCCACACAGCAGCCCGAGAACCAAAAACACAAATCTAGGTATCATTCCCCTCCTTAACCCTTTAAAGTACACCATGCTTTTATAATAAACCCCCAGGTCCTTATCGTGGCCTACTAGGCTTTGCAGGATCTGACCCTCGCGTACCCCTCTAGCCTCGCCTGGAACCCCACACTCCTGAACTTCCTCTGTTCCAGCCTCAGGGGCCTTTACAGCTTCGGGGCTTTCTGGCCGACAGCCTTTGCGGGAGAGGTTCCCGCAGCCAGGAGGCGCCCCTCCGGTCTCCTCCTAGTCCCCTACAGCTCTCGGCGCGCTGCTCTAATACTTTCTGGGGCTCCTCGCACTTTTTCTTCAGTTCGGTCTTCCCTACTGGAAAGTCAGCTCCGTGAGAGCAGGGGGCCGTCCTCCCCACCATATCCCCGGTACCTAGGCGGCGCGCCTAGCGGGTAGCTCGCTCTCAGCAGTATCTCTGAGCGAATTAACCAGGGAACCTGACGCAGCCGTTTCAAGGCCCGGCTGCTGGGGGACCCGGGGGAGGACGCGCTTCCTTTCCTGACGACAGGTCTAGAGAAACTGGCTAAACTTAGACATCAGAGAACTACAAACCTTAGAAACCGCCTGCGCACCCGCCCCCACCCCCGAGGCACCTATTCCCCTGCTCCCGGGGGGCGGCACCCGAGCCCCTCTCCCCGCAGGCCCGCAACCCCGCCTCCCCAACGCTGGAGGCCCCGCCCTCCGGCCCCCCAGGCTCAAAATCTCAGCTCCCTACACC